GACTTCTGGCTCAAGCCGTCCGAGCGTGCATCAAGTCACGTTTCTCGCCCCATATCACTCGTGACACAATGAAAGAAAAACCACCAGCTAGCGACCAGCTTGCCGAGAAAATATGAGAAAAAAAATACAGTCGACACTTGCAACCTACACGTTCCTCGTGTTTGGCAACCGAATAAACAAGCGTCAGAATCTGCCCAACTAGCCAACCTTGCACGCCGCAACAACGATAACGAACTGTGTCACAGTTGTAGTCTTCGCAGCGTTTTTTTCTTTACCCACAAAGAAGAATCAGACGAGCCCGCAGGTAGAAAAGCAAGCCACAACAAACTCCGACAGAAAAAGCAGAACAACGACCATTATTAAAGCATACTGAGTACAAACGAGATCGACCACAGACCATCACAAAAGAACGAAACAAGACGATGCTCACAACCGTTCCGTTCTTCTCAGAAGGGCAAAAAAAGAGGAAAAGCAAAGCATGGAGCAACGATTAGACAACACAAGAATAAAGGACGTTTGTAGAAGCTGTCCTCTTGTATGCATACCTTTCGTTAAGCTCCGTGTAATGTCTACAACAGAAAGTGAGTATGCATACGAGCTTGTGCAGCGGGAAGTACGTCGCCAAGAGCACGCGTGAACCCCCGCACTTTTATGTATCGCATGCACGCTTGCTTTCGTTTTTTGCGCCCATCCGTGCCATGCGAAAATATGTAAAAATAACGCAGCCTACGAAACAGTGTCTTGTCATGCCAGCAAACTAACACGATGATACGTGGTGAAGAGCCCAAAAATTCGCCCAGCGAACACAGTCAATGTACATCTAGATCCATGTCCGGCAACGCGTGTGGTCAAACAAAATCAAAGCGCGGAGCAACAAAAACAATGAGCCGCGCCACGTATTGCTACTCCTGGATATTTGCCGGAGAGATTAACCATCACGAGCGACTGAGTAAGTACACCACGTTTTGGTCGACCCTCCCCCCCCCGTACGTAACTAAAGCGTCCATATCCTTGCGTACCCCCATGAAACGCAGGCATATGACAAATAATCTTAAGACAAGTCAAAACAACAGCACAAGACGCCATCACCTCGGCTAACCCAACAATTTTACTCACGAGTCGCTCAACATGTATAAATAACACAAGTCACGCAGCACGCAGCGGCAGCAGCATGTAGGTGCGCGGTGTCCCATCACCTACAGTACAACGCTAAAAAAAAACGTAGCATCCCTCTCCTCTTCGTTCATGTGGTGGGTCAATCGATCGATGATCTTGGTGAAATCGCCGTAAGATGAGAATGACAGGCACATGCAGTATAAAAGATCGGTTCAAATACACAAGAGACGAAAGAGACGCCTACCACTAGTCGGGGCCATCCTCCCCCCCTCCCGCGCAAACTACGGCGCGCAGGGAGGCCTGGATGGCAAAAAAACATGAAAACCGCCGCATTCTACGTTGCCGGCACACCCTACCCACGAAGAAACAAACTCACAACACACGTCCACGCAGCAACTCCACGTTACTGTAATGGGAGTATTGGCTAGCAGCGTGAATCGTCTATAATCTACGGTCGATCACATAGAAACCCCAGACGATTACTCGGAAATACCTGCCTGCCTCGCGTGGCACCGGCGTCCTCTCCCCTAGGCAGGAGAGGCAGTCACACTACACGGGAACACAGGTACTTGTCGACAAAAAAATGAAAAACAAGCAGTCAACCTTGCTGCCCGGTTAAGTTCATGTTTCGCTACTCCTCCTCCTCCGTTCTATACAAAACATGACGGCCACAAGAGTGGGCTACAGACAGGCATCACAAAATCACCACAAAGAAACCAAACCAGCCAAACGCAAACGTCAACAAGAGATATCGATCCACCACGCACACCACACACGACTGACGTCTCTTCATCGGTCCGTCGGGTGGCACGGTCGGTGCTATTCAACCATAAACGCGATGCACGCCGCAAAAGCGAAGCTGCGGTGCGTCGCCGCGACCCTCCCCCCAAGAGTCCAAAGCCCCCAATCTGCACGGCTTAAGACAAGAATGGATCATGAAACAAACGAGACATCCGCAAGTCAAGACCAAAACAAAAACACGAGAAACAAAGAAGCAGACCGGCCAACCCAAATACCGTCGTTTACCCTCCCTCCCAAAAAACGTTTCGCATAATAACAAATACGTTCCTCTCCTCCAAAAACCGTTTCGTGAAAATCGACGTGAAACGAGACGAAAAACGCTTGCTCTACTAAATACCCTATCCTACGGTTGTCTCGTATAGATAACACCACCAGATTTTCGTGAATGTGACGTCCCCCTCCCTGCGCCAATGATCCTAGCAGTAAACTCAGTGTGTTTCCGCCCTTGTCCCCCCCCCTCGATTTTTCTAAGGTTCAACGTTTCCTGTCGGACCCGAAGCAAGATATATGCCGGGCCGGCATGTCCGCCGTGCCAGCCGATCTCTTTACAGGTACAAGAAACACGGAGACACCTTGTCTACCATGTGCTCTCTTCCGTCCCTGGCTGTGTCGCTGCCGTTGTCGTTGCTACTGCTGTTGTAGCCATGGAGGACGAGATGGCGGTGGTAACGGCTGGCGGTTGCGTCTTGTCTTCTCTTGCTCAACGGCAAACGGTGCCGCCGCCCCGGGGCGGCGGCGGGGACGGCTTCGCGGCAGTGGAAATAGAAGGGGGCGGCGCCGCAAAAAAGCAACAGTCTTGACTTGACCCCCATCGCCGTCGCCGACCTGACCACTACAAACGGTGCTCTCGCGGATCGTCAGCTCCCGAAACCGGGGTTACCTCCTTCTCTTGCGGAGCGAACTGCACGGCGCGAACGATGTTATCCTTGCACCGCCGTCCCCCCGGCCTCAGCGACGAGGCGGCCGTACAGCCAGAACCCACGGAGCTGATTGCGGAGCCCCGCCGGGTGGGCGGCGAGCCCGACTGACCGACGGTTTCGTGAACCAGCGGCAGCGCCTGCGGCCCGTCTAACCGGTAACCGCTGGTGGCGCTGCTGGCAGGGCTCGTGCCCGTGGTTGTCGTCGTTTGGCTGCTGATGCTGCGCGAGTGGGACTTGTCTTCCGTCCCCGGAAGGGGGGTGTCCCGCACTTGCTGCTGCGAGGACGTCGAGACCTGCGGCTGGTACGTTGTTTTTGTTGGAACAACCGCGACCGTTTCAGAGAGAGAGAGAGAGAGAGAGAGAAAGAGAGAGAGAGAGACGGGCAAGTGAGGGACGGGGGAGGGTGTGGAGGAAATCGCATCAGGCTTCGGTGTTCATGTGTTCGGCGCTCTGTCTCGGTCTCTCTCTCTTGATATTGGTCTAACCACGCGCCTAGCTCCTTGCGGGATTTGGCTGAACCAATCCCGGCCCTTGTTCGGTTCGTTTTCGAGGGCCAACCAGCATCTACCTAGCGGCAACACCGCAAAGAACGTTCCTTGATGCGAGCAGATGTCGAGGTTAGTGGGATGACCGTGGAAACACCGCGTGGGCACACCGTCCATGGCATTGCTGCATTTCAACCAGAAGAGCTACTAGAGCAGCAGCTTGGCGACGTTGAACCGGCCAACAATACAGAGACAAGGGAGGGATTGAGCAAAAATGACCGCCGGAATGGCGCTACCGATGGTTCTTGTATGTACGTTAGGCAAGCAACGAATACACAGGCCGTCGTCATCTCTAAGCAACGAACCTATCTACTTCTGTGTCTCCCGCTAAGTACGTACACACACATACCTTTGCGTCCATCCTCGGTGGGATCGGAAATAGAGACTCGGCGCGGGCCATGAGGGTCGGCAGGGACGCCGTCTCGTCGCCAAAGCCCCTGTCGTCATCCTCTCCGATGTTCTCAAACAGCTTCAAGCTGCCCGCTCTCCTCGGCCGCGGCTGCTGCTGCGGCGGCCGTTTGGGCGGAGGCCCTGCGCCGGCCCACGGAACACGACCCCCCGCGATGTCTCTGCCGCCGCCGCCGCCGTAGGACCGAGTCCTCGACGAAAGGCCTCCGCGGCGCTGCTTTCCTGAGCCCCTCACGGCGCCGGAGCGCTTCCACAGTCGTCGGAGGAGGGTGAACTTTTGCTCCGCCGAGGAGGCAGACATCATCTCGTCGTTACCGCCGCCGCCGCCTTCTTTAGCCTCGCCCCCCTCCACCACCACCTCCTCCTCCTTGATGAAGTTGCAAACCGACTCCGTTGCACGTGGCCGTGAATGCCCAGGGCTCTGCGCGGCTCCCCGCTGATGCCTATTGAGCTGCTGCGGTGGTGGGCAGGCCGCCTGGTAGCTGGGAGGAGAATCACCGTGATCGTGCGCTTTCGTTTCGTTTTTCGGCGCCTCCGGCACGGCCGACGCGAGCGACGCCGTGCCCCAACCTGGCCCTAGCGCACGTGTTTCTTCATCTGCTTCCGGTACAGCCGCAACGTCGGTGGTGGTGCTAGTCAGGGGTGAGTCGCCGGCGTCATCCACGGCATCATCCGTGACAGCTGTTTCGGCGGCGGCGGCGGCCGGGGGGGTGGTTGTGGCGACCATCGTGGTGGAAGATGCCTCGTGGCATGGAACTCCGCCGCCCCCACCCCCACCCCCCTCGCCCGCTGCCGCCCCGGCTTCCTCTTCTGCCGTTACAGAAGCCGCGTCGTCGTCCTCGTCGTCGTCGTCTGCCCATTGGTACAACATCTCCGCCGGCGGGATCGACTCCGGCTTACCGGACGCGCTGATGGTGAGACGGCTGGGGTCAACGGGCTTCGACGATCGTGTTCCGGCGAGGCTGCGTGTCTGACTCAACGCGGGGTCCCGGCTCTGCCCCGGCGACGAAGCGCAGAACCTGTCGGGAAGCTTCAGCGTCACCACGTCGTTAACGGAATAGTACTTCTCGTGTGACGGGGTCCGGGTCCCGGCCCTCTCCCCCGCGGACACCGGCGTCGCCGCCCCGCGCGGGGGCCTGGCCAATACGGGCCCACTCTTCGTGGCGCGACTCCCCCCGCCGCCCTTCGCCTTCGCCCTCATTGCTTGCGAGATCGGCAGCGGCAGCGCCGCCGCTCGCCGGCGGCCTCGCCCAAACCCGGAGTCCACGACTACAACGGCGGCGGGATACACGCCAACATGGCCGCCGGCGGTCACCCTGGTGGGCGCGCGGTAACGGCCGCTGCCGCTGCGGTTGAAGGATCCCACGCGAGAGAGCTTCCTTCCCCGGGAGTAACGATTCCTGAGGGGCGGAGGGACCGGCGGCGGGCTGCCCTGCGACGACGTCACGGACGAAGTGTCGATGCCCGACACAGCAAGATCGAAACGCTTCGCTGATACCGCCGGGCGGAGCTTGATCGGCTGCTGGTCCCCGTGCACCGTCGCGACGGGTGCCCGCCGGGGGTGGTGGCTGCGACGGGTGCCGCTGCCGGGCTTCTTAGCGCCGGTGCCGCCGGACTTCTTGGAGCCGGACCCGCCAAAGAAAAGCCGCGGGCCGCCGCGTTTTACGTAGGCGGCGGACGCGCCTCGAACGTGGAGCTTCTGCCCGACAACCATGACGGGAACCTTGAACCCAGAACCAGAACCAGAACCGGTTGGAGCGGGAGGAGCCTCGGCAGCGGGAGCCGGAGCCGCTGCGGGATGAGCAGCAGGAGAAACGGACACCGTCGTCTTGCCGCTGACGTAGTAGTCGCAGAAAGGGTCGCCGTGCGTCACCAACGACGTCTTGCCGCTCACGAAATCGCAGAAAGGGTTGCCGTTTACCACCAGCGGCGACGGGAGATGATGCGTGAGCGGGGCTTGTTTCTTGCCCCCACAAACGCCAGCGCCGCTCTTGCCGTTGCTCGTTGGCTTCGCCGCGTTGCTGCTGCTGCCGCCGCCTTCGCGAAGAAGCCACGAAGTGTTTTCGGTTGCCTGTTCCAGGGTCGCCACGGACATGGGAGGGCGTCGTATACAACCCTTGGCATTTTGGGACGACCCAGAGCACTCGCTCCCGCCGCAGGGAAACTCAACCGGCCACTTCTCCGCATGGTCAAACGAAGGTGCCATCAACGCCGCCGCCGCCGTTCTTGTACTCTCCGAAGCGACGGCGGCAGCGCGCTCAGCCCGCCACGCTCCTACTGCAGGCGCCTTGGCCGCCGCCGCCGCCGCCACCACCGCGTCCGCTCTAGCTTTAAGCCTCTCCCTGGCCTCCTCCACGACACGCCACGCTCGCTCCGCTCTTTCGCGACGAAGGGCGTCCGATGCGGAGCTCGATTCCGACACGGTGCTCCTGCTATCGACGGTGGACATCTCGCGGAACGTGAAACCGCCGCCGCTGCCATTCGCCGATTCCTCCTCCTCGGACTGGACCGATCCGACACCAACGACACCTCCACCGCCGCCGGATCTACCGACTACTCCTGGGGGCAGGAGCAACTCGCCGCCCGGCGCCGTCCCCAACAGTGGAGACTGTAGGCCGACGAACAAGTTTAAGCTTCGTCCACCGCAGGTACCGCCGGTGCCGCCGCCGTCGCTGCCTACCCACCCGCCGCTCCCGCGCACGAAGCCGGCCACGGCGCCCCGTCTGGTCGGCCGCGCGGGCGGCACCACCTTCGCAGGCGACGGCAACAGAAAAGACCGCACGGACCCGTCGGGTTCGGTTGGGCTTGTCTCGGCAAGGCTGTCGAACCGAGGGAAGGCACGCGGCTCATCCTCCTCCTCTTCCTCTTCCAAGCAGCCCCCCCCGCCTTCTTCGCCATTCTCGCTAGCGACGACGACAACCCCGCTGCCGATACCATTACCGTCGCTTTGGTCACTTTGAGAAGGAGGCGACAAGTGTTGCGCGCTTTCCTCCGCCGGGACGAGGAGGAAGTCGCTGGTGCCGTCTTGCGTCCTCGATCTTACGCGAGGCGGGGAGCGGTGGGTTCCGCCGCCGCCAAGCGGCCGCCCCACCCCGATTCTCGCCGCATCGCCGCTTGCCAATGGCAGTGTTGTCGCCCTCAGCCGGTCTGTCTCGCGCTCCCTGTACGGATTCGTCTTGGTGGTTCGGTGGTCGCCGCACGGCGCCCCTCTCCTGCTTACTTGACCGTGTGCGTACCCGGTCGCGACCCTCTCGAAGAATATTACTCGATCGTCGTCTGCGCAGCCCCCCTCGGACGATGAGGAGGAGGAGTAGGAGGGGGAGGAGGAGGAGGAAGACGACGCCGGAGAAGAGGACGACAGAGTCATCCCGTCGTTGTCATCGTTGTCGTTGCCGCTCTCGTTGCTGGTCGACGACGCTGTCACCTCCAGCAGCGGCGTCCGGCGGGGCTCGCTGCGGCACCCTCCTTCCGTGGTCGCCCCGTCCTCCTCTTCCTCTTTCGGGCACAGCCGTGACGACTGCAGGCTGGCGGCATCAAGGCGGGCAACGTCGTCGTTTTCATCGTCGTCACCGGGCACGGCGGAGCCGGCGCCGGCGCCGGCGCCGCCTTTGGCATCTAGGCCGTGATCCTCCTGTCCTCCGACGCTGTCGTCGTCGCGGCCGTCACCTTCCTCCTCCTCCTCATCGTCGCCGTAGTGGTCGGAGTCAGACTCGGACGAAAAGGATGCCGATGAGCAGGCGGCGGCCGCGGCTGCGGCCGTCTTGAGCGGGAGGGCGGCGGCACCGCTGACGCTAGGGCCGACATGCTGCTGCTGCTGCCTCGGCCGTGGGCACTGACGCTGAAGCCGCTTCTTTGGGTGCAGCGTGAGGTTGGCCCCGCCCGCCTGGAAGTGGTCGATCTCCTTGGCGATGAGCTCTTTCAGCCTCGATCGGGGGAACCCCTTCTTCTCGAACTCGAACTCAAGGCCGGCGGCCGCGGGGGCGACATCGAGAGAGGCCCTCTCCCTGGGAGACGACGAGTTTGACATGAGGGAAAAGGGGGACGGAAAGATGGCTATCAGATGTAACGCGTGTGTGAGTGAGGTGGGTAAGATCTGGTGGTTAGTGTGTACCACCAGGGGCGGGGGGTTCTTAACACGAGGATGAACTACGGTGCGGACATGGTATCATAGCGAGCAGGGAAGAGCCTTGCTCTCATATACTTCGGTAGCCGAGTTAAGCCTCCTTTTCGTTGCGTTGTCGCCACCGATCCACACACGCTCTGCAACCCCCCCCTCCCGCTTGCGCACACACCTCAACTGGTCGAAGAACGGGTGGCGTAGGGCCTCCCGCGGCGTGAAGCGCTTGACCGGGTCCAGCAAGAGGAGGCCCTTCAGCAGAGACGCGGCGTCGGCCGGGATGCCCGGAAGCACTTCCGTGAAAGGAACCGCGGCCTTCCCGTCCAGCTTGTCCAAGAACTTGCGGGCCTGTGCCCCCCTGATGTGAGCCACCTCCTCCGGGGCCGGCGCGCCCAGGACGTCGAAGATGAGGGAGAGCTGGTTCACGAAGCTCGAGCCTGTCAAAAAAGTTTTGTTTTTTTTTGCCAGCCAGCGGTTATTGGTTTGGTTTGATTTGGTAGGAGTTCGCACAGCAGGAACCACGCCGGGGTTGAGGGGTGTATCAGTGGAATACATATATATCCAGGTCCTCATCTCCCCAGGAAGAAAGTACCCGTCACGTATGCACCGCTTGCGTTGTCAGCACTCTTACCGGGAAACAGCGGTCGGCGGCCGAGGAGCTCTCCGAAGATGCAGCCGACCGACCACAGATCCACCGCAAAGCCGTAGAAGCCGTTTGGCGACAGCATCAGCTCCGGCGGCCGGTACCAACGGGTCACGACGTGCTGTTTGGGGGAAGATTGATGGTGGGGGTACGTATGGGTGGAGACGGAGTTAACCAGGGTGAACGCACGAAACAAGAGCAATCAATGGAGGCATGGGAGAGCCTCAAGTTCGTAGACAGGCAGGCACAAAACACAAACACGTCCAGAAACGTACGACGAAAGTTCCGGACGTTTAGTTTGTAACAGCGTCTACGGCAAGCAAAGCATCGTGTTCCTGTTGAGCAAAAAAAAACAAACATCGTTTTGCTGTGTGGAGGAAGGGTTGAAGACCTCATTTCGGATGTACAAAACCCAAACTCAAAATCGATTTTTCCTGCACTTGTGCCGCGAAGAAACTCTCAAGTTCGTCCATAATTTGCATGGGGATAACCATGATCCCTCTCTCTCTCTCTCTCGCTCTCTTACCTCCGTCATGCCTTCCCCGTCTTGTCTCTGCTCCACCTTCTCTTGGACGCTCATCAGCTGCCGTGCGAGACCAAAGTCTGTTATCCTCACCTCACAGTTCCGCCTCACAAGGATGTTTCCTGCAAGGAATCAATCGAACAAGAGGAACAAACAAACACACCGAGGAAAGCAACGGAATGAACGAATCGAGACAAGACAAGGGGGATTCGACTACATATTCGGTGCGCTGTAGCGGCCGCTGTGATCGGGCCGGTGCCTGAACCGCAACAGCCGTCCGCCTCTTCTCGTATGCCGCGTTCGATTGACACCAACCGGCGTACAGTACCCGAAAAGAAGAAGAAGAAGAAGAACAAGAAGAACAAGAACAAGAAGAAGAAAAAGAGCCTCCGAACCTTTACTACTACGTAGTTTCTGCTCCAAAGAACGAAAAACCGCAAGCACTTGCTACATACTATCGTGACAAAGCGCGCAACACCCACAAGGCTCCTCTATTCCTGTGTGTATGTACTGCGCTCAAGACCCCCAGCCTCCCCCGCAGATGCTCGTGGATATTGCACGACCTTCGATTCTACTATTTAATACGAGAGCGTGCTCGCTGACCCCTTTGGTGCTGGCGCGCATGCCATGCGTCGGAGCCGCCGATATACTTCATTGCCTTTGCATTGTCTACAACCTAAAAACCAAGAACCACACTGAAAAACGGCAGAAAAGTGGTGACCACCCTAGGTCCGGCTGTGTCTCTAACCACAAGGTGTGATTGTTCCTATTAATAGTGATCGCATGTTGATTATACGTGTTCGCAACCCGGGCAGGTTGATGAACACGATCACCACTTGTCAGGTGACCTTCAAGGCCAGCACAACACGAGCACACTCCCGCCCCCCCGCTCACCTGGTTTGAGATCTCGGTGGATAACGCCATTCTTGTGAAGGAACTCCACCCCTTGAAGAATCTGGATCATAAACACTCGGTGGTGCTTGATGGACAAAACCTATTTAATTCATGTGATATTGAGCGCACGGGTCATGTGACCATCACGTCGTACATGCGACAAACGAATCAGAGAGAACGAGGGGCGAGGGGGGAGGGGGGAGCACACGTTCGAACCCCTCGCCAGTCTTCTTTCCGTCACGACGTATTACTATCTGCGGCATCAATTTTGATATAAGCACGCCTTCTGATAAATGCTTCACGTACGTACTATATCGTGTACGACCGTAGAGACTAGACTATGGCACCCAAGGACTTTTTATTCATGGGTTCTCCGGTTGTTACCGAAAAGGCAAGCAAGCATTTGGTGGGGAAGGAGAGTTATTGACATACTCCTTTGAATTTTCAAGAAAGATTTTCGGACAGGGCAATCAGTCACGGGGGGGTCCATCAACAGGCCTGCGAGAGAGCGGGAGGCGGGCGGGGAGGGCGAAGGAAATGACTTGCGACAAGATTCACAGGGACTGGTGATGGCTCAACGAGTATCAACAGAGAGACGGGAATAGCTCTCCACTTTGTGGCCAACTGTTCTGTCCAGTCCTTCGTATCATACCTGCTGCGACTGTATGATACAGTTCAGGTCCGAGTCCAGAAGCTCCATGACGATGTACAGCTCGTCATCTGCCTGCAGGCCGGAAAAGCAGACAGCAGTATCGCCGCAAAGCAACGGAAACAGTGCGCCAAAACCAACGAGAGAGAGAACGGCTGGACACACGTTCGTTTCCTCAAGTAAGTTTCCTTCTTGGGGTGGCGACCAAAGCTGCCCAACCCGCTGGTCGGCAGCGTGCAAAAAACGTTTCAAGTTTGCGAACACTTTGATTCGCGTAGTTGCCCAAGGCAACACGCGGGGAAAGCATTGTGGGTGTATCACGGCGTGCGTGTGGCCATCCATTCCCGCGCTACGAAATCAGGCTTTGTGTGTACCTGTCCCATACGCTTACCCCAACCAACCAATATCCCTCTCTCTCTAACCCCTCCCCCCCCCCCCCTTACCTCGTTGCAGAAAAGGTCTTCCAGGGTGACGATGTTCTCATGCTGACCCAGGTGTCGCATCACTCTCACCTCCCTCAGGACGTGCTTCGCGTCCACGCTATGTATGATAAATACAGCAATACAGCAGAGCGTGCCCCCGGGATGGACAGTCAATTTCCAGCAGGACACACCATATGTGAGTTGGGGGACTTCGACATGTACAGCAGTACAACGACACAACGACTCGGGCTTTTGGCGGGTATAACAACAGCATGATTACTAAACGAGAACTACCAAAGTCTTTCGTCTGATGAAGCACAACAGCAGTATTAGTAGTTTCCATCAGGAACGAGCGACAATTCCAACGAGGTCTTCTTTCGTGTCTGCGGTACAATTGAGGGTGCGTCTCCTGTCCTCTTCTTCGGCAACATGGAACACTTACTTCTGGAGGCCAGACCGGAAGCAGTCGTTATGCGCGTATACGAAAAGGCCGACGTCGACGTTTTTTTTAGTCTACTACTGCTGTACGCCTCGACGTCGACGATTTTTTTAGTCTACTACTGCTGTACGCCTCATATGCATACGCGCCTAGAAAACCTGCAGCTCTTCTGCATGCAGTTGTTCGTGGGAGTAAACTTGAGAAAAACTGCTGCTACACCCTCATTTCCATGAACATCCTTATTTAAGCGATTTTGTTGGGGCATGCACCCCATAGGGGGATTTCTTCCATGTGACCCCTGATAGAATCACTCCGTCCCGTTGATGGGGAAAACGCGGCAATGCCAGCGTCCACACATACATGCAACATATGCATATGCGTAGCAATGTACACACATCCGGTGGGGCAAAACTGCTCCACAATTCGATATTATTGCTCCGAGTTTGCTCCGAGATAAACGTGGGATGGATGACGGAAACAAACGAAGAAAGAAAGAACAGAGGGGGGGGTGAGCGCAGTTCCACGATATCTGCGTCCATGATATGGTGGGGTAAAACTGCTCCACATTTTACATGATTAGTTGCTGCGAGTTTTGCTGGCTGAAGTTAAACGGCAGCAACGTGGGATAGATGGCGGGAAAAAAGAATAAAAAGGTAAGAAGAACGGTGGTTGTGGGAGTACGGTTTGTTAGTGACTCTTCCCACCTACGGGCTTTTCCGCCCTAAGATTGGTCGAGCGTTGGTTCGGGCGGCTGATTTCTCTCCAGCGCCCCTCTCACCATTCCGACAACGCGGCCCAGCCGCGTTTCAGCACAGCGCGGGGTCGCGAGGCCATGCGTTGGCGGTGGGTGAGGGGCGTGCACAGCAGTTTTACCGAAACAACTACCTTACCTTCGTGTGCAGTTTCTTCTTCTTCTTTTTGCAGTTGCACAGAAGAACTTGCGTATGTGAACCAAGACACGAACTACTTGCTCGTCTCTGCTGGCAGTTCTCTTCTTCACAGAAATAAATGGGAGTGTACGTTGCTTTCTTTGCCTTCGTCTCGGCGGGAGGAGAGAGAGAGAGAGAAAAATGTGGTGACTTGGCGGTTTCCAAACCCGTTGGAGCGCTGGTGAGAGCGCTCAGAGCCACACGCACTCCCCTCTCAGGAACAGCGACCACAACAACTGCAGGAAGGAAAGATCGTCGCCGTACCACCGATCGGTGCTTCCTCCCTTGTCTTCTTGTCCTCCCTAAAAAATACCGGTCGCTCTTTTTTTTCGTTTCGTCAAGTTTCGTCGGGCCCGCCCACCATGAATGGCTGGCTGGCTGCCGTTATTCTCCCACCAGCGGACAGACTGTCTGTACACACCAACAACTCCAAAATTGATCATCGTCGCCGTTGCCGGACTGATGTAAGACCCATTCATTTCGAGAGGGGCGGCGTTGCGAGAGCGACTACTTTGTTTGGTAGTGCTACAATCATTTGCGTAAACCTCTGTTTCGTTTCGGGGTTATGTCAAAAACGACAAGATACACCTAAAAAATAACGTGAAACTGCTGTCCTACCGTCAAGTGGATAAAAAGCCCGCGCTACGCGCCCTGCAACGAATGTCTGTACTTGAGTCTACAGCCGCAGTACATGGGGCACAGGACACGCCACCCTACATATTGCATAGATATGGCGCAAACCCTCACTCCTTATTGGATGGCCGGGGAAGAAGGCAACAAGAATGAAAAGTGGATCATAGGATTTTCGATGACCAGGGTTGGTTCAAGTTACGTACAAGCATTACATTTTTATCGTCGACAAACACTCAATTGTTCTCACATGTACTGTACCCATGAAAACCTGCATAGAAACCTGGAACAATATCGTATGAAAAGCCTATGATGCTCTCCACCATCCACATCGTACGCACCAACCGATTACTGCAGCTACCACCACCCATATTTTTTATTACTGTCACTCGGATAATAGGTATACAAGCACACGACAGACCTGCCCCAACCGCTATTACAAGCGAGAAAACACGCGCGAAACTGCCCTCCTCCCGCACGACCCTCTCCTGTCGGATTATACGAAGGTGTGTAGGTTTTTCTCTCATTACACAAATGATGAATCCAACGAATACGGGACGCATTTCATCTCTCATCCATCCGCAGAGAAGAGTGCGGGGAAAGTATCATCAAGTACATAAATGATATATTGCCATTGTGGTGATGCATCATCATCATCATGATCAACCACACTCACTGCTGGTTCTACATACGATTGATTCCCGAGCAGAATACAACACACAGAGAGGGCGACGACGTTTTCAAAGTTTGTTTTCAACACCAACAAGAGGAAGGGCAGGGGAATGTGAAGGAAAGAGGCATATTATGCATACAGGTAGCGGATGTGGCCAGGAAGAAGAAAGAGGCGCCGACGTACGTAAATGAAGTAGACGTGGGTAGACTGCTGCTGCTGCTACTACTGCTGTTTTTCGCCGTTTATCATCATCATCACCTGTGAGCAGCCATGGGAGTGATCTTTTTGATGGCGACCGGGGCGTTGTTGCGGACGCTGTCGACAGCGGAGCACACCATCCCGTACGACCCTTTTCCCACCGCCTCCAGAATTTTATACCGCTCCGAGATCTGCGATGACATGACAACGAGACGTTCACCGGAAGCAGCAGCGGCAGTTTTTCGTCATTTGTCAGAAGAACCGGTGCTACTACAACGTGCCACAAACATCGAACCTACAGACAAACCTTCGAGTTGGCTACGTCGACCTACTACATAGATCTCGCAGCCTAAAGTTCGTGGTCGCATGCGCGTACATGGATGGGGCATTCGTTATTTTGCTGGGATAAACGACACGCGCCAAAATAACTTGGTACTGCTGTACATCTATTTTTCAGAGTCTTCGGTCACGGATCGCTGGGGACATTTTGTGCGAACCACCAAAGCCATCAAGAGGTGAAAAAAGTTGATCGAATGCATCTATTACTGCAATGCTAACGAACGCCAGGTGTGTCGCGATTGCATGATTCCCACAGGCAGGTAGGCGTCGTGGCGAGTGCTGATGAGAGATAGAAGGTCACGCGTCGACGGGAGAAAATTGATTTTCGTGCCGTGTGCCTCGACCGAAACATGTGCGAGATGAGAAATACAGATCTACAGATCTGGAAAAATTTCCGGCGTCCTTGGCGTCGCCCAGCGGTCCCCTGGGTCATCCCCCCTCCTGTTGTCTTGGTGTGTTGTGCCATTTTGGAGGCAAAAATGGTTATCATCTCTCTTTCGAACATCCATCATCCATCGTGGGCGGAAGACACGCACACAGAGAACAGAATCTGCTGGATGGACTTCCCCTGTGAGAGGTCGCCAGGGACATGTGCATTGGCGCTCATCACGGCAAATGAACAAAAAGGAAGACAAGGCAATGTGGTGATTTTTACCGTACGCCGGGTCCGTGTAAAATATATAAAGCAGTGTCATTCACCTTCCTCTGTTTGTGATATTGACCTCTAGTAGAGTTTTCTCGCTCGCAGCTTTGCCCTGCACGGCTAGCTAGAGCTAACGAGACAATCGTTTTTTGAATGGCGAGCTACATCCTGAAGATGTCGTGTGCTCCGGGGTGAACAAGCGCAGACACCCGGAGGAAGAAGCGCAGAGTGTGGAAACGAAAAGGAAATCCGCGGAGAAAAGAAAAAACACCGAACTGCACCAAAGCGCCATTCAGAGACGAAAGAGAGCAAAAAAACTGCAATCGAGACATCGAGATCCTGCGCGCTGCCCCGTGTCACGGCGAGTCTGCGCTTCACGGGACGAACAGCAGGCAACACAGAACGGCGTCCCACCACAGTTGACTCCCAAAACGTGCGTTGTTGCAGACGTTGGTACCCCTGCTGTTCCGTCTTGGTTGCTTGCTTTCTTTCACAAGCAATAAAAAAAGGAGCAATAAAAGGTCGTGCATCTTTCGCCACCTCCCAACAAGGACGCCGCACCTTGAACATCCTGCCAGTGGTCGGTAGGTGGCGCCCCTCCTGCTGTGAGCAACTCGCGAGAGCCGGTTGCAACGCACCATCCCTCCCGCCCTCCAGCGAGACACGGCTCGCTGAACCAGGACTCAAGCTGGAAACCATCGGCTTCCGGTGGGGTCTCTCTGCAGCCGTATCTCTCCTGCAGCTCCTGCCTCTCGCTCGTGAAAGATCGCACATCGGGGGACGGCGGTGGGCCGGCAGCCGGGGCCGATTCCCCAACGAGGGAGGCGTGGACATGCACGATCCACTCTCTCTTCTGTTGTTCGCGAAAGAGCCCCTGGGGCCGAAACACGTGTGCGCGTTCGTGTTGTGTGTTGAGGGGCCGGACCCAAAGGCAAGCAGGCAGGTGGGGCAATTTTGTACTCTTTTGGGGATCTACGAAATCCTTTCGACCAAGCACGACAGATCTACGAAAGAAACCCTTTCGATCTACGATCTACGACACACAGCAGCAGGTTGCGCTCCATACTCCTCCACGCACCACCAAAACGCGCTCACACTCCAGCTCCTCAAGCCCGGCTTGACAGCGGAATGGCACCCCCACGAGGACGAGGGGGCAGGGGAAGGGGAAAGGGAAGGGGTAGGGGAAGAGGCCGAAGGGGCTCGGAGGGTGGAAGAGCGAGTTCGCGGCCAGAGGGTGAGTGGTTGCCCTTGCGATGATGTTGGCGAAAAAACAGAGTTAAATTTAACGACCACCGCAGCAGCAGCAGCGGCCACCACTGGCACCGACACGCTTGCAGGCCCTGCTGCAGCTTGCAGGCCCTGCTGCATGCTAGGGCCCTCTGTGTATCTCTTTTTCTCTCCACGTCTCTGCTCATGTCTTGAGGCTGTACCGTCCTTTCCAAGTTGTCCTCTGCTTGCGGTTCGGGCGGCATCAGTAGACGCACGGTTCATATGCTCAAACCTCAGCCATTGCCTGCGCTGTGCTTCAGAAAACTGATGGGTGTTCGCTTCAACTGCATGTGGGACCGATCCAGCGGGGTGCAGTCTCTTACCCTAACGTTGATCTACAGACGCCTGGCTAGAGACAGACAGAGACAGAGAGAAACAATGAGCCGATTGGTGTCGATGTGCCAAACTGACGGTGTATATCATACCCCCTCTTGACCGTCGTGTTGGGTACACAGCAGTCCACAGGTATCTCATGCTCGACAGCCCACAGCCCCACCCAACTGATAGCAAGAGTGTCGACATCTGAAACATACCACGAAACTGCTGTTTCCATGGCGTATCGTTCGACGTTGGCAACCGTTTGGTTGTCCAGCCATCGAGACAGCTTTTGCCTGTCAAGCAACAACGTCTTTTGGTACAGTGGAGGCTACGGTGTACGAGAGGGTCGGGGCAGGCCAGTATTTATCTCTTAAACTCCCCGGTTTTCTCTTAAACCGTACTGTGAAATGTATGTATTTCTCATGGTCGTGACAAGCCAGCTTGACTCTCTTTGATCGGTGCCATCGGCACCTTCTCTTAAATATTCTCTCTTTAACCTGTAGCCGCCACTGCTGTACCAGTATTGTCTTGTGTTTACTTGTCTCATAAAATCAACGTCGTTTCTTGGATGTGGCGAGGTTGTGCGAGTGCTGCCTTCCCTGTTCCTACCACACGGGAGAGAGAGAGAGAGAGAGTTGTGGCCATGACTCCAATTGGCTTGCCTTTCTTTGGTGGATGTCATGCCGCGACGTGGCCGGTACTGGTGCGTGGACTGCCTAACCTGTTTTACCACGACGTGCTCATCGACATCACCACCTGTGGTGTAACGGCCGCGCCACGCACTCTCGGACCGCTTGCTTCTTCTGTCACCTTTTTTTCTTCCCCGTCTGATTGAAACCTCTGTTCCCCTCCTCTCCTCTCCCTCCCTCTGGCTTATCACACGTGGATTGACCCATATGTACCGTGAAATATTCCGCGCGTGACATCCGTCGCTAAGGCAACCCGGAGAACGAAGAGCTCTACACGGATGTCGACCGCTTCCACATGCAGCAGGACAAAATCAAGTTCGGCGGCAGGGCTGGGGACAGCAGCAGCGACTCCGACGACCTGGTAAGAGTTTTTTTGGGAGCCGGGGGGTCGGTTTTCCGCTCGTTGGGGTCAAGGTTAAGGTTGGAAGGTCAGTTTTAGACTTTCCGAACATTCCTTACCGCACGGACGCGTGGTGACTGCCTTTCGCTTACGGTACGGATTGATGATCGGTGCACCCTCGCTGGCGGCGCGATGGGGTAACCGCAACAGGTTTCCGACGCCAAGGTTGGGAGTCTGAACCTCAACGAGACTTTTTTACTACGAATTCCGTACCTAAGAATTCGTAGTGTAGAAAATGCTCGTTGGTGAGTATACTAACCCCCCGCTCACGTTAACACTGTTGGCGGGAGTTTGGCATGGACACATACAAGTATACGCTGGTGCTGGACGTAACATCAAGGCAACAAAATTAACGTGTACAGGGAGGGGGGGGGACTTGTTTCCCCGTGGAGAAAAGCCGCCGTGGGTGATGCCCATGTTTCGCCGTTGTCCCCCGAAGGAAAGGTTGTGACGCTGAGGAACCAGAACAAGCGTGGACGAGGGGGGAAGGAGGGACAGGGATGCCAGGGGCTAACGCACCTATAGACGTCCTCATGAACATGTAGATACACGTTTGATACTTCGCTACCGCCTCTGCGGATAGTTTTGATCAAGTGGATACTCACCTTGGATGGTCGTCAATTTTCCTGGATCAGAGATGTTCGCGTCTGTCTTCAATGCGCGCTTTAGTTGGATGCCTCTCCCTGCCCGCTCTTGCCGGAGTGGGTGCCACCTTTTATTTTTTTCGTGTGTGTTGCGCCTGCTGTGAAAAACTTTGGGTTACGCGTGCGTGTGCCTCTTGTGTGCGCTCAGGATGGTTCTGAGGAAGAGGAGGGGGTAATGACCCTCGATGGAGCCGGCGGTGGTTCAAGCGACGATGACGACGACGACGAGTCGGAAGAAGACGATTCGGATGCGTCTGAACTGCCAGAGGTTCGTTTTGCATGTTTTCGTGCTATTTTTTTTTAGTCACGTCCCCCGCCCCCCTGCAAAATTCAGGCCGTTTCAGAAGCGAGGTACAGCAGCCAGCCTTGTGGGATGCCTTTTTCGTAGGGAGGAGAATTTGTGTGGGAGGTCACTGTCGTTCTTAACCCTGGCGTTTCCCGCTGTGTTCGTTGTCGTTGGGGTGGTTGTCTCTCTCTTTCGCAGCTACCGGAACATGTGCGAAGGGCTGCGATGCAGGCTTCGTCGGACGATGATGACGACGACAGCGATGGAGATGGACCGGGCGGGGGCAAGTTTGGTGCAGGAGGCTGGGGCAAGAACAGGTATACAGAACGCGCCACCACCTAGTCTAAGAACCTCTATTATAGTTTCGGCCGAGGCTGGGGTTCTTACTGTATTCCTAGGGTCATGGTACGAATGGTCGCTATATAGGGTTTAGTGTAGGGGTTCTTAGCCGAGCTCACAAATGGTGCTCAAGGTCTTAAAATTTTTATTTTTTGAGGCTCAAGTTCTTAACCCCTGGGTTCTCAACTGCGTGTGCGTTCTGTACACCGATCCGGTTAGGGTAGACGACCGAGTGTAGGTGTGGAATTAATGTGGTCGTTCACGTTCCGCCCCAGAGTGAGTGGGTACATGGTCGGCTGTTTTTAAGTCGACGACGTTGTGCTCTTTGTGGCTACCCCCTTCGACGACGGCAGCGTGTATCGGAAGGAAGTGGCGACGGCGGCGTCGGGGGTCGTGGGAAGAACCTTGCTTGTTTTACGCTCGCTAGTTTCTTTTTCTGTTTTGCGCACAGATTTTTTTTTGTTTTCTGTATCGAGGACTGACGCTTTTCTTGTCGGCGAGAGAAGTCGTCTGATTGAGTACATTTCCCATTGTATTAAGGGCATACCATGGTACCGAGAAGCTTCATCATGGTGCGTGGCCGCAAGGTCTCTTTGCGCGTATCTCTGTCCGCAATCCTTATCCCCGTTTGTTTCCCACCCGACCGTCGCCGCCCGACCACCGGTGCAACAACCCCGTCCGCCAGGTCCTCGTACTACAACGCGGACACCGCCGACCTGGAAATCGGTCAGGAGTTCGAAGACGCCGAGGCGGAGGAAGAGGCCGCGCTAGAACTGCAAAGAGCGAGCTACAAGCGGCTCGACCCTGCAGACTACGGCGAGGAGGAGGAGGAGGAGGAAGAGGAAGGGGATGAGGCTGCCGAAACCGCAAAGCAGGAGCGTGGGGGGAAGGGGAAGGGGAACACGGCCGCCAAGAGACGCGAGCGCGATGGGACGAGCTCCGCCGCTGGAGCTCAGGGAGAAGCGCTGCGTGCAATGAAGAGCGACCTCGAGCAAATCGCCCTGGGTGCCGGGGGAGAGGTGTGTCTTTTGCCGGTTGCGGGTTTGCGCTCCGCTTTCGTCTGGTGGTTTTGGGTTGTTGACAGTTGTTCTTCACGCGTTGTAGATCCCCTCCTCGTTTCCACCATCATTTACTTGTATCCGTTTTTGCAAAAATGCATCGCGCGAGAGTTTATCCCAGTGATTTTTTACTACCGTACCCTCGGAATCGTCTTGGTTCCTCGCCCAGCCCAAAATGCCTCACATTCAAATCCCTCCCGGCATCTCCCTCCCGTGTCCGGAACACTATGGCACGCATAGTCGTGAGCAACCCCCCCTCTCCTGCGGCATACTCCCCGTCCCCCGCGACCCGAAGTATCATCCCCGTTGCCTGTAACTGAGAATCGTCTTCAACCGTTGCGGGAAAAAATCAGGTGGAAACCTCGGTGGTGAAAAGGGACACCTCGAAGCTGAGCAGGCGCGATAAGCTGGAGCTCGTGCTTTCCGAGGCGCCGGAGCTTCCGGCCCTCCTGGGGGAAGTCCGGGCCCAGCTGGGGACCCTGACCGAGTCGGTGCAGCCGCTGGTGTCGAACGTGACGGCCGAGATCGGCGCGAGCAAGGACGGGCTGGTGTACCTGCGCACCCGCCAGCAGCTGCTGCTGGCGTACTGTATGAACGTCTGCTTCTACATGGTCCTCAAGGTGCCTGCTTCGTTTGATGGAATAGGATGGAACGGAATAATGACAGGCTTGTGACGTGCCCCCGGATTTGACTCTCGAGCTGACGATGTTGGTACTGTGTACGTGCGCCAACGGCCGTTGTGTTTTGTGTATGTGTGTGTATGCTTTTTGAATTTGCATCGACCGCATTGTGTGTGTGTCTTTAGTATTTAGCGTCGACCGCACTAACCGGCTGGCCAATCAAACACGTCCTCGGTGTGAGTGGTATGTTTTGATTGTTCTGTGTTTGGTACTTGGCCGAGTCGGTTGACGTGAGGGATGGCATGCTTCTTCTCTTTGTCGGCGTTCCTAAATGCGGGTTGATTTTTGAGCGGTGCTTGCCCACGTGGGTTCAGTTGCAATCCGAAGGGCCGACACGGACGTCTTGCGCTCGATATTTTCACCTGGCAATGCCATGGCTGTACAGCAGCGGTTCGCAAGCATCACCTAGCAAAGACTGATGACAGGAATCAATCCCCAACCAGCAACACACGGCACTCGTTCAGCAGCACCTGGGGTAGAAGCTTCTCCGACCCTCCAACTCACTTCATGGCTCTTATCTAGCACCAACTACTGTCTTCGCTACTCTCCTTCCTCAGTGGACTGGGTAGCCTGCTCTTGGGACATCATCATGCTCGTGTCCTGCTGAACACACGTTTTTTTTTGTTTTCTTTTGCTCGCCGCGTCTCGGTTGGCAGGCGAAGGGGGAGCCCGCCAAGGGCCATCCCGTGGTCAGGCGTCTCCTCTCGCTGCGCGGCCTCCTGGAGGACATGTCCTCCCTCGACGACAAGATGTCCTCTCAGGTGGACCTCCTCCTGCGCGCTCTCCGCTCCGGGGTAGACCTTGCCGGCGGCAGCGACAACGAGGAGGGGGAGGGGGAGGAGGAGGAGGAAGGCCAATCCAACAGTGGGAGGGGGGTCTCGGCAGCGAACGGGAGAGGGAAGACGCGTGTCGCCGCGAATGGCGGCAGTGGGGGAAGTAGTGCTGAGGAGGAAGGGGAAGATGTGGACGAAGAGGGCCTCGAGGAAGAAGAGGCGAGGTTCATGGGCGGGGCGGGTGGCGGCAGCTCTGACGAGGATGAAGACGGCGGCACCGGCGGTCCACCGGGGTCATCGAAAGGCTCGAAGAAGAAGAAGCGCAGGAGGGCGGCTAGGGAGAAGGCGGTGGAGGAGGCCAGGGCGAAGCTGGCCGCGGGCGCCGACGGGGCCGGCGACGCGCTGCTCGGCGACTTCGGAGACGAAGACATGGACGAGCGGTCGGCGATGAGGGGCAGCGGCGGCGGAAACATGCTGCAGGGGATGGTGAACCGAATATCTCAGAGAGATCAAGCCGCCACCGCGAGGAAAGGGCGCGGCTTGCAGGGTGATCTGGACGTGCCCGTTCGGGAGAGGGACCAGACGATCCGTGTCCGGCGCCCTGCCCCCGGCGAGGATAGCGACGTCGAGGAAGGGGGCGGTGTGGATAGCGAGGACGACGACTTCTTGGGAGGCGGTGGCGGTGGCTTTATGGACGGGTTGCCGCCGGGGCTCCTAGAGGGTCTCAGCCGTAGCGGCGGCGACGGACGCAAGACGAAGAAGAAGGAGGGGAAGCGGGGGCGCGACGGCGAGGGCAAGGGGGCGGCGGAAGACGAGGAGGACGGGTTCTACGCCTCGGTGGCGGAGGAGAAGGAGCGCAAGAAGCGAGCCAAGAAGGACAAGTACGAGCCGCAGGCGCGCATCGCGGGTGCCCTCGAGGCCGAGCTCGAGGCGGAGAGGGCCGCGAGGGGAGAGACCAAGCGCGGCGCCAGCTACACCATCATCAAGAACCGGGGCCTGACGCCGCATAAGAACAAGCTCAACCGAAACCCCCGATCCAAGAAGAGGGAAGCGTTCCGCAAAGCCACTATCCGCCGCAAGGGGCAGGTGAGAGGAAGGGGAGGTGTCGAGGTCTTCGATCGACATTGTCTTGCCTGTTGTGTTTGGTTGAGGGGGGCCAATCAAATTCATCCCTGAGTTTAGCCCCCGAGGGTGTATGTTGAAGAGGTTTGCTCTCGTCGACTCTCGCGGAGCAGGGCGCAAGCATGCGTACCTCGGGAGAACAGCTAAAGGTGTAGCCCGTCATTGCTTACCGGCGTTACACATTGCATTGCTCACTTGCCGTTTTCGTCCCTGTCCCCGCTTTATTCCCTTTTTTTTCGTCGCGCATGATGACAGGTTCGGGACATTCGCACCGGCGAGGCCGATGCCTACGGGGGCGAATCCACCGGCATCAAGTCCAACGTCACGCGCAGTCGAAAACTCAAGGGTTAGAGAGCTGTGTACAAGCATAAGTACCCCGGGGTGGTACACACGCATACATGCTTTGGATTTGTTTCGACCGCGTCTAGGAGCGGGGCGGGAAGCAGCATGGTATTATTTTTTTCTCCTTCAACGACGAGGAGAGTATCGTTTGGTGCAAGAGGGCCTCATTCGCGAGGTTGTTACTCCGTATGCATACAGGTTAACGTTTTTTTGTTGATGGATTCGTTGGGAAATGTATTGGAAAATATACAAAAAAAAAACTATTGAAAGATTGGAGCTGGCGGAGTTTGGCGCGATTTCCACCATGCGATGTTTTCGGCCAGACAACGAGGAATGTCAGACGAACAACAGCGATACATGCGTGCAGCTTTCTTAATTCAACGCGAGAGTCAAGCCAGCGCCCGAGAGCGTCGTGTCTCCTCAAGGGCGATTAGTTGGTGTGGGTGTTTACATATCTTCAGCTGGTGACATCGACCGCGGTACACCGGCGAACCATCGAACAGACGGAAAGAGCCATGATCCATGATCCAAACCGACTCCTTCGTACAGCAACAGCCGTGCCTTGAGCTGGGCAAGGCAACCCGAAGTAATGGTGGGTTGATTTTGGTTGCGGGTACCAACGTCTATCTGCTGCTGCACTCTGGCGCCACTGCGCCACACATGCGCACATCACATCATGACCTGCACACATGAACTGTTCAGTCCATACCGTAGTTCATCTGTCATAAATAGCTGTGGCCGCCCGAACCACAGGGCAGGGGGTGGTCGCAGCTGCCATCTGCAGAACCCCGACGCATGTGGTCTTTTTCTCTCTCCCTCTCTCTGTCTTGCGAGCCCGAGCCAGTGAGGTAGTGAGTCTGCAGCAGCTGTGGTGTGCCGGTTTCAGAGAGCAATCAAAGAACGATGCCCATCTCTTTTCACCATGTGGACGAGCTTTCGTCTCCTCCTTCGAATCTGATATGCATCGACCGGAAGTCGGTGAGTCACGCCTCTAAACGTCACATCAATACATTTAGACGATGTACATCGGAGCAGGTGCAAATAAATCTCCCAAGCTGCTAACTGCTGCTGCTCGTGATATTTTTATCTAGCCAGCCTATCTGGTTCAGCAGTGCACAAGCATTTCGGTGTGCGACTCGGTGCTTGACTCCTTGCTCCCACACGCCTCTCCGCACGTCGAAATTCAAGTTGTAGACGTGCGCCAAGTCTCAGCGTACTATCCACAGCCTGAAAACATGCACTACTACTTTGGGTGAAAGATGCGGCGCCGTTTGAAGTCGGAACGTATCCGACGCGTGCCTTGGCCGCACCACCGGGGGTGCATGCGAAAATCTTGGTTGGCGCATGTGTCTCGGTTCCCCTTGGGGGCAAACGTAAGACACAGGAATAGGTCGTTTGACGGCGCATGGCGCACCCGCCCTCGGGGGAAACAAGGGCACCTCTTTTTTGACGTTCTTCTGCTTTCGCTTGCACACATGCCCCCCCCCCGGGCAAGAAAACGACGAACGCGCGACCCAGAACAACGCAGACAACATTCACATTTTTAGACTACATCTGCTGTAGATCTGATGTATGCATATTAAGGAAAAATAATTACACACACAGAAAGACCGCCGATTCGAGATATACCCACAGTCGAACGGGATGTGGTGGAGTCTTTTCAGTGAGTGGAGGAAAACCGGCTGGGTACTGGACTTATTTCGAGTCTTTCATATGATATTGTACGCATACACAGCAAAGCATTTTTCTATTTGGACTTGTAGACCCTACCGGATTCAGTACAGAATTCTAGACCCATCCTGCTGCATGTATTATATGTGCGCCTGTGAGCAGCGCAAATCAATGCGTGATTGGTACAACGTTTGCTGAACGCAACACCTGCTGGTGCCCGTACACCTACTACATTTCGACTCTCTCAGCAATCACGGCCCCGCCGGCAGCGGACGGGTTGGGTTCGGGGCAACGTTCGGGGAGAAGGCAAAAAACAAAATGGATGTTGTTGGAACATTCATCATGATGCAGTTTCCGCGGGCGCCTCCGGAAAATCGCCGCCGGCCAACAAGAAGTGTCCGCAACATTAACATTCGTCTACATAATATGCTACATGGCCCTTCAAACCACCTAGACTATTACATGATGTGTACTGAAGGTGGAAGATAGTGGTTTGCTCTGGTGGGTGTGTTGTAACGACTCGCGTTTGTCCCCACTGGAGACGTCCGCCCCCCCCAGAGGCACACAGAACGGCTCCTCCAGACAGGGGTAAGGCCGAGTTCAGCCATCTCTCGGGCGGTTCCGGGGGAACAATATGCTGCATGTTGCATAAGATAACACACCCCCTGAACCGATTTTTCAAAGCTCGATCGCTCGCAAGCGAAAACGGTCATCACGGTGGTACCGAAAATACCGGCGTTGGAAACATGTCGTCGAGAACTTTTCTCCGAAAACGAGGCACTTTTCTATCACTTTTGGTCATGGCGTCCTCTTCGTCGTGAAGTACAGCGAGCCTTGAAAATCGATGCAGGGGGGTACCTTTTGCAACCCCACTACTTTATCATACTGCTGCAATACAAGTGGCTAGGGAGTATATAGCTCTTCAACATATGCATGTGCATACATACATACATACATACCTCGCGTGCATGAACGTGACACAATCATTTTTTTTTTTTTTTAATACGACACAACGAATCCATGTACTTCCATCCATTGAGCAAAAGAGTCTACGATAGATTTGCAATGAATTCATATAAGCGAACAGAAATTGAACACATGCGTTCAATCAAAGAGATACATACAGTACACACGTAGTCTACCCGTTCAAGGTACAACCACGGTCGACGGGGAAGGAGAAAAAAATACCAAGTGTTGTTTTTCGTTTTCATCGCGTGTGTGCGTCCGTTCGCCGCAGCTACCTACCGCTGTATCTCGTGTGTGCGTACGCACGTGCGAAGGGGATGGGGTCGAACTCTTGTTACTCGTATTGTTTATTGATTGCGTGCGTCGCCGTGCTATTTACATGCTGCTGTATAATCCTCTGTGCATGTATAGGTGCTGGCGTCTACTACGGTCTCATTCGCCTCAGAGCACCCCGGACAGGCCGCCTTCCTTCGAGATATCGTGTCCGGCCTCACGCCCGTCTGCGCCAGGCCCTCCACCGCCGAAACCTTCTTCCCGAGAGACAGCAGCGGCAGCAGCGGCAGCGCGGCCGCCGCCAGTGGCGGTGGGTCGGCTGCGGGCCCCCGCCGCGTGGCTCTGTGCGCCCTCCCCGAGGTCTGCAGCCGCCACAACTCCCCCGCCCAGCCCCACGCGATCGCCGACTGCGCGCGGTCGATCAGCGGGAGCGGGAGCGTGGCCGTGGTGATGTGCCTGGACCACCCGTCGTACGCGTTCGCCGCGGGCTGGTGAGCGAAGTGGCGGGATGGCCTGCACGATAGCAGAGGGGAAGGGGGAAGAACGAGATTTTTCTATGATCTTGATTGTTGAGACTATTTGCATGCGCATCGTTTTCTGTGATCTTGATTGTTGAGACTTTTTGCATCGTTCGATGTTTGTCCCGTGGTTTTGAAGGCACCGGCCTTAAAAAAAAAAAGAAAATTGAAGGCACCGGCATCCGATGACTCGCTCCACGTCCTGTCCCCTACGTCTTGTTCGTTGCGTTGTCGATGCCTGCCCCTCTCGCCCGTGACGCAAAAATACACATGCACAAATACTCCGATCCACGTAGAGTTCAAATCGTGTCGTAGCACCACAACACACCACAAACCCGCCACCCCTCAACAATCGCCTTCATGTTGCACCTCCCCCCCCCCCACCGTCCACAAACGTTGCCAGCGCGGTCGCGAGAGCGTTCCCTCTGTACAGCAGCACGAGCAGGAAGCGGCCGGGCGCGGGCGCCGCTTCCGTCCCAGCGCCCCCGCCGTCGAGGACGGTGCAGGTCTACCTCCGTGTGCCTGTGGAGGCGTGGGGCGCCGTCCGGGCGGACCTTTCGGCGGTGAGGAGGAAACAGGACAGAATTGATACGCTTGGTTGCCACCCTTGGGGCGTTGTTGCGTGTTGATGTGTAGTTTGCCTGCCTTGGAGTATTTCCTTTCTCAGAGGAGGGAAGTGTAATGGGATTTGACCCCCTTCCTTGAGAATGGTATCACCTTTAAGGCTGTGTGGGACTCTCTTGTCAGACAAACAGACGCAGGTTGTTGGTGCTTTTCCGTTGTTCTCTTTCTCTTGATTGACGCTTTCCGAAGCCAACTCACACCGACCCCAAGCACACACGGATCACCAGATCGTACGCACACTGAGCAGAGGGGCACATGCCTCGGCATAAAACCTAAATATTTTATGACGTCACGTCATAGCATCTGACGACGCCAAATAACCATGGTCAAGCACGCTCACAAGTCTACCTCCAAATACCATAACAGAGGAATGATCGTGGTTGTACTGGCCTGTTTGTTTGAGCACGGGAGGGGGGTCGTTGAAGAAGAAGGCGGGTGGGCAGCCGGCAGCAGCACTGGTGACGCAACCGACTGTCTGCAATTCTTTCTCTCTCTGTCTCAGTCTCTCTCTCTCAGTCTCTCTCCCTCCCTCCCTTTTGCACGTCACACAAACCGCATTTCATCCCGTCTCCTATTCATTCGCCCTCCCCCCCCCCCCCCCCGCAGGCGGCGGAGGGCATCCAGCTAGCCGCGAGGCTCGTCGACACCCCGCCGAACGTCCTCTCCACCACAGCCTTCGTAGAGGAGGCGCTAGCGGTGGCTAGGGGTCTCCCTCCGTCGATGTGCGCGGTCAAGGTCATCCGCGGCGACGAGCTCGAGGCGCAAGGGTTCGGGGGATTGTACGGGGTCGGGAAGGCGGCGGTAGAGCCGCCCGCGCTGGTCGTGCTCAGCTACCTCCCGGACGGGGCTGCGGCGGGAGCGGCGGGAGCGGCGGGGGCGGGGGCGGGGGGGAGCGCAGCCCAAACGGCGGCGGCGGGCGGGGTAGGAGGGCGCGGGTCGGTGTGCTTCGTGGGCAAGGGGATCATTTATGACACCGGCGGGCTTTCGATCAAGACCAAGACGGGAATGGTGAGGGGGCACGCGAACAAACAGCTCAGGTTTGGGTTAGTGCCGCTCGGGTCCCTAGGAAGGAGTTTTAGATACACAAGGCGGCCCTCGCCTGCGAGAATGCGCTGCTGGAGAATCGCTGCTGCTGCTGCTGTGCTTTGATAAGATTCCGCGCGGGCCGGGAACAAAGCTCTTCATCGTGCGCCTAATTATTTAGTCTTTGCACGGGGTCGAGATAACAAGCAGTTAACAAGACCGGAAACATCTACTTGAAAATACCTCTTGATTTGTGCGCGTGTCCTTGACTTAGGGATTCACCGCGCCGGGTATCGCTTGCACTCTGTTTGCATGTTTGTGAGTTAAGTTGCTTGCGTGTCAGGCTTGCGCGTGCTCGTGTTCTCTGCGCGTGCGCGTGTTCTCTCTTTGTAGCATGTGTGCATGTTGTTCGAAGTATTTTTGTCTTGACTCCGGCCGGACTTTAAACCAACACCACAAACAAGAAAGGACGTCAGTTTTCACCTGCAAGAAACTCGTTGCAAACGGTTGCCGTGCGTCTGCTTTTGGTCTTGCAGCCGGGCATGAAGCGAGACATGGGAGGCGCAGCGGCGATCCTCGGGGCATTCCAGGCGGCCGTCAAGGCGCAGATGGCGGCGGCGGCGGCGGCCGGCAGCGGGAGCGGCGGGAGCGGGTGGGTGGGGGGGCGCAGGCCCCTCCACGCCCTGCTGTGCCTGGCGGAAAACTCGGTGGCCGCAAACGCGACGCGGCCCGACGACATACACACGCTCTACTCGGGGCGAACGGTGAGAAAAAACTTCTCGTCGATTTGTTGTTCCAGTTTTGTGCGAGATGCCTACTACCAGTGTGTGTGTGTATTTAGTAGGTTGTAGGTCAGCACGTCGCCCCCCCCCCCCCCGCCTTTTTCCC